CCAAAACGTCCTTGAAGATTGTAGGACAAACTGTCCGCGTATCTAATCCCTCTATACTGGGCGGCTGAAGGTTTGAAGCCAGTTGAACTAGCTGTAATGCTGATATTTCTTACAATCTCGTTAGTGTAGTGATAAATTACTAAATGTTATCCAATGTCGCAATAATTCCAAAAGAAAAATAGTATACTTTGAGGTGTCAGTTAGACTAACAATCCCCGATAATGAATTCTGAGTGAGGTTGAGCGCGATAGAAAAACGTGTTTCATTCACATGAAGTATACACTACCACTATCAGGGGTTAGACACGCAGACAGTTTGAGTCCTCTAATCTCCAGGAAGTTTTGGGTCTTTGGGAAATCTATGGGCTAAAGAATTGTTTGGGCAGAAGTACGGTTTAGATTAAGTAGAAATTCGCCTCTTAAAGAATATTTGAGCAGAAGTACAGCTTACACTGAGTATATTGGTAGCTATCATGTCATAACCGTTCTTTCCTACTCTTCCTGTGACCGCGCTCAAAGTAATATTAGCCTGACAGCATATTTGAGCCTTTCGTGAGGTCTGTTGTAGTGTAAGACTATATAAGTGCCACAACAGATCTCTAGAATGGCTTTAAAATATGTTACCATATTACATTTGTCTTGAGCGATGTCTCAAAAACAATCGAAAGAAATAGTACTACATGACAAGTTCTACCAGCCACGAGCAACCGACTGTAAAACACTGCACAGCGGGTGGTCTTTTCATCTTACGGCAGTGTAAGCTGTTCGTCGATTCCTTTATATATGGGTGGTATACTCACAACGATGAAGCTGAAAGGCCGAAACACGTGTCTTGCATTATATACGGCCACAAGAGATCTCATGAAAGGTCCAAATTATACTACAAATTATTTTGGTATCCTTGAAGAATAACTCGAAGGGTTTAACCCACATTCATTAGCTTGTTTGCCATAAAGATCTTTGAGCAGAGATAAGCCCACATTCACTTTCTCTGTCACTTGATACTGATGAACATGGTATTTCCCATGCTTAACCCTCCAAGGGCTATACGGTACGATTCGTATCGTGCCGCGCGATGTCAAATCTCACTCAGCTACTGTAACGGCGGCGTTTCAACATCGTGAGAATAAATCGTGAGAATGCTGCTCTTTGGAGAGATAAGTAAGCATTTCTGACCTAGAATCCCTTTGAGTGCTGCTGATTTACGTGAACAGCGCATCTCACATCTTCGTTGATGGTACATACACCATTACAGGATCTATCACTCTTTTCTTTCTGTCGACTTAACACCTTTTCGTGAGAAAAACTGCCTTGTAAAATGCTCTTCATTGGATAAATCACTACCTGATAGATGAAGATACGATGTTGCGTATAGTGGAGATCTTCTTGATGAGCTGTATGGACGTAATCTGAGAACCCACAGTTGTGTTCGCTAGAAGACCAGTGATAAAAGGAATGCGCCTAAACGTAGTAGTTCACATGACAAGCCGAACTGCTCGGAAAAACATAGATTCATCAAAATACCAAACTGTCACTAGACCTCTGTATGAAAAATGAGAACCATTTTCAAGAACTGTCTATTTAACCCTTGCGCACCGTGCGTGCATCGTATTCGATGCACGACTTTTTGCGACTTTTTCTCTTGCAGAAAGGAGCTGTTTTCACTAAAGTTTTCCAGTAGTATTCGAAAGCGTAGTTAGCGGATATATCAAAAATTTGCTTGACTTTTCTGGAAAGCTTCTTATTGAGGCAGTTAGCAGCGGAAAAAAAGATACGTTTCACGATCGAAGGGCTTGATTAGCACGATTAGGGTCTATGAATGACTCTTCATTAAACCCTAAGGGGTAACGCGTACCGAAGGAGGTACATGGTTGTTAGAAGGCTTTTCTCGCTGGATAAATTCTTTTTTCTCAGACACTAAGTAATCATTTGAAAGCTCTAATCTCTGCGATTTCAAACAATATGTTTGATTTCTGAAAAAGCCTTCTTACAACGTTGCAGTCAGCGAAAAAAAAATTATGTCTCACGCTAAATTTGTTTCAATTGCTCAACTGCGGCCTGTTTGTGGCTCTTCGTTAAAGTCTTACTACTCATTCAATATCCCCAGTCTCGAGAACTCTGATGCTATAAATGGCTTTGTGAAAGGTTATCATAGAACGCTGTAAGTGTGAAAAGAAGGGTACGTTTTGTACTCATAGTTTTCATCGTACAGAAGAGTTATATGTGCACGAAAACGTATGACCACGTATAAAAAATTATGGAGTATCAGAGTAACACGAAAAACCTGAAGCTTCACTTCCCAAATGGAAAGAAAAACCTTAATTTGATTCAATATATTGCCGTCCTCAATGGGTTAAAACTAGGCAAACACTCCGAAGTCAACTTCGGTTTCGAGAAGGCCTTAATGGTACGCTGCGGGCGCGGAAGAAATTTACGTCTCCTATTCGGAGTTTTCCTCAGAATATAATATATTTACATAAAAACTATATGAGTATTATGTTCAATGGTGTGCAATACGCTAACGTCAGGCAGGAATCCAACCGGTGTTTCACCTTTTTGAGGAGCCTGCTAACCAACTGCACTACCGGACGCCGGCATTGCCACCATTCTTTCTACGCTACAACAATGCATGAATGTTTGGCACGTGGTCCCGGAAAGGGTAGGATGCGGGTTCGATTCCCGTTTGACGTTGAAGTTCTGCACATTAGTTGACATTATTGAGCATAGTCGTAGCATCACACCACCGCTACAAAAGTCGGTCAGATGAAGAATATTCTATATGAGCATGTGAACGTGATTATGGAGTATCAAAGCAGTACAGGAAACCTAAAGATTTTCCAAAGCGGGGAAAAACCCTGTTCTTTCTGATTATAAGGGACAAATGAAAACCCGACCTCATTCATCTGGAGGGGAACTTTTCTTAGGAGTACCAGTAAACATTCGAAGGCTTAGACTTGAGGCTACAACCCCATGTCACTGGTTTATCAAAAACCCTTTTAAAAACGCTATGATATCCACCTAAAACGAGTGCATATTTCTCGCCGGACAGAGCTCTTCTTTGGACTATCAATAATCATTCGATACTGTAATCACTGCTGATTCCAACATTGTGCTTGTATCCTAGTAAGACCGTTTCTCTGAAACGCAGCAGGTAAAATAAGTTGAATTCCCATCTGCAAGCTATGCCCTCTTTAGCCAATCACGTGAGGGTGAGCGAGGCGACCACGTGAACTGCTGACGCGAAATTTCTCTACGCGTTCAAATGCCCGAAAGATCGATGGTCACTGAGTCATCAAACGTGGCTGCTAGCCAGGCCGCACGTGAGTTGGTCAAAGATGGCACTGATCGCAGATGGCAATCAAACTTACTTTACACGCTGCGTTTCAGAGAAGCGGTCTTTTCAGGACTTAAGCACAGCCTTGGAATCAAGATTCGATTCCGCTATGGAATGATTACCTATAGTTCAAAGAAAATGCTCCGTCTGGCGAGAAATAGGCGTGTCTAAAGTCAAGATATATCTTCCTGTAGCGACGTCAAAAAAAGTCTGGCGACGTGGGGCTGTGGCCTCAGGTTCCAGCTTCCGACTGGTTACCAACTCTCTTGAGAGTAGTTTCTCTCCAGTGAATAAGATCGGTTTTTTCATTTGTCCTCTCATAATCAGAATGAACCAAAAAACGCTTTTTTTTAAACAGTCGACGATATGGATCAAAAACGCCCTAATAAAATAACGAAAATCGGGCGCTGATTAAGAAAAATTGATCAACTGCCGTTCACAATGAGCTGAAGAAAAAACCCTGTGCGAATTCATTAACCTTTTCAAAATTGATGGCTGATGTTTGAGCGATTCGCCTCGTTCATAGCCTAGACGTACTATGTCAAGCCATATCTGATCATTAAACATCTAGAGAATAATTAGATAGGGGATGATATAGTACGTGTGGGGGCGAATGGCTTAGTGGTTAGAAGTGCCCTGCGAGATGTACGTGGCCACTGGTTCGATCCCGACACTCAAGGTTTACCAATGCTTCCATCCCTTCGCGGTCCGCGAATTCATACCAGACTTGTTTGAGAGGATAGCGGCACTGACTCTGATATGTCGGCAGGCCACCGCGAGTGATTGTAAAAGCCAAATATGCATTAAGTCACCTCAAACGATGCTCGATAGAGTTAGATGCATGGCACAATCCTTAGGGATTGATCAACGCCAGGAGCTTTATTCTCTATTCTCCGTACAATTCGCCACAAGGGTGGAAACTGCGCCAACATGGGATATCCGGTTCGCATTGTGTCATAGGATGGGATAGGTGATGATATTCCCAAGAGGGGAGAGAGAGATAGAGAGGGGAGAGAGAGGGACAGGGAGAGAGAGAGGAGAGAGAGAGAGAGAAAGAGAGAGAGAGGAAGAGAGAGAGAGAGAGGTTCTGTGAGATGTCTATGACTTGTGGAATAGTAATTGTTATTAGGGAATATTTAAATAGAAAAATCTACCCTCTTAGACAGTCTCACTTTTGGCAGAAACAATAAAAGATGAATCGTTGATGACGGTTGGTTGTTAACAGTTGCGATACCTTGTATCGCAGATAGAGTGGTAGCGGAAGTAGAAGCTTAAATAGCGTAGTGGCTAGCACGTAGCTCCGGAAAGGGTGAGACGAAGGTGCGACTCCTATCCAAGGTTAAACGTTAAGTTTATCAACCAAGATTTTCAGATGTATAATAAAAGTGATATCGCCTGAAATGCAGACAACCAACCTCTGCATAATATAAAGTGCTGGACGGATCATGCTATGTCCAAGCACAGTGTTGACCTTGTTCGGTAGGAGGTGAATTGCTCCTGGATATGGTAAGCTCACTTCGCGACTTTACTGCTGAAAAGCTCATATTAGGGTACAAGTATGCTATGCGGGAACAAAAGAAGAAACGACCCCTTCCCACTGAACAAGAAGTTTTGCTTAATAGTGTTGATAATCCCAACGATGATGTAGAGTGGTGTGCAAAAACGTTTGCGTCAGTCGGGATTCGAACCCAGATCCTACTCTTTTTGGGTGCATGTGCTAAACCGTTGCACCACCGACCGCTCGTTTCGCACTGCCACTCTTTTCTACGCTAGCAACGCGTTATTTGTCAACAGCCAACCGTCTACGGTGGTGGCGGGGCAGTCATTATCGACATTGGACCCCTTATGTTGACAGATATTGGTTTCAATAATCAATCCGTAATCATCTTATTTTACCGCCTATTGTGGTGTTAAGATGTTTTTATTAACCCAATGATGTGTAGAGTGGAGTGCAAAAACGCTTGCATCAGCCGGGATTAGAACCCAGATCCTACTCTTTCCGGGAGTGTTAGTAATCATAAGAAAGCTTGGATCTTTGGCTACTGCGCTATGCAGCCGCTATTCAAAAAAGCCTATTTATAATGTTGTAGCAGAATGAAAACATTTGCGTTTCACACACGCATATTTCTCGCAGAACAGAGCTCCTTCCTCAACTTATAATCAACCATTCGACAGCGTAATTTTCGCTGAATCCAACGCTATGCTTATTTTCTAGGAATACTGTCTCGCCGCAGTGTAATAGGGAAAATAAGATCGAGTTCCGCATATGTGACGCATCTGTTTGATGGCTAGTTTGTTGGCCGTGGATACGATACGGCGCTCCGCGATCGATCGATCGATCGTGCTGAGGCGACTCACATGTGGACGCAATTTTTGCTACTTAATTCGAGTCTTTTTTCTCCAGTTTGAGAGAAATTTCAGATAAAACGTATGACTTCGATAGCACAACATTTCTTCTACACGTTCATAAGCTTTTCGTGCCTCCAGCGAAGTAACAGTAGAAGCACGCGGCCGGTGTGAAACTTAATTTGTTTTGAATCCGACAGCGTCATAGAAAGGCCTTTCCAAAAAAGGAGCACCTAGCACGATAGCTAGAGATTCAAACTTTCGAATGACTACTGACACTTTTTTGAAAAACTCTTGTGCAGAGAGAGGAGTGGTCATTTCTCCATCCTGTGCCGTCTACCAGAAAAGAACCGGTAATCAAGCTTACTACTAGTAGAGAAAAGGACAAAGGCGTGTGGCTGGTAAAAGGTCGGGGCACAAGAAAGTTGCAGATGCACACTTCGAATGAATGTTGGAAAACAGAGATACTACCAGCTGCATACTCGATCGCCGGCATCGATAGAAACCATCTGTCCACAGTCTGTAGGGTTACAGACATCAACAGTGGAGAAATCCTGCACCGACTCTCCTCTTATACAACTCGCGTTCTGGACCATACTAGAAGAGAATCTCCTCAAAATCTTTCCCATGCAGCTCAACATGAGGAGCGGGACACCCCCGTCGAAAGGGCGACGTTTGATAGGTTGCCGAAAAAATCCGTGCCATTTTGGTTTCTGGTACGATTTTTGCAATGAAATTTGATGATTTTGATATCGTTCAATCGGGCATTTTCTCGTGAATATTTTGATATACAACGTGCCTATTACTGTTTTAAGATGGAGCTGTCTTCGGAACAAATTTGCCTGCTACTCATGCACGATTGGCGCGTGGGGAAAATGCTAGTGAAGCGACACTAAAGATCAGTGGAGCTTGGGGCCATGAACGATTACACAAAGGACGGCAAGGAAGTGGTTCGCAAAGATCAAAGCTGGAGAGAATAGTCTGGATGATCAGTCGCGATCGGGCCGTCTACACGGAGTTGATCGTCAAGCTGTCCTTGAAATGGTCGAAGAGAATTCCACAATGACATACCAAATGCCAGCCGGAGAGTTCGATTCTCGCTCCAAGAATATCGCCAACATTTTGAATGAACTGGGTGGAGTCTGAAAGAAGACAAAATGGGTACCAGTGACCTGATCGGAGCCCGGAAGCCGTCCTTTCTGCAACCGTACCATCATCTCAAGCTCGATTAATCTAGCGCTCAGCTTCACTGGCATTTTCCCTGCGCACCATTCGGGGCACGAGTAGCAAGCATATTTGTTCCCTAAACAGCTCCATCTTAGAGCAAGTATGGTCAAGTTGCACACTAAAATGTTCGCAAGAAAATGTTAAGTAGAACGATACCAAAATCATGCAATTTTAATTACTTCTGGTTATTAAATTTGGTCTCTATTGCTTTAGTGTTAGAACTTATGGAATAACCTAATATCACGGAGTGGTAACGAAGCGGTGTCCCTGATAGTTCAGTGATATCATGGGCCCTCGCACAGATGAAATGCGGGTTCAACTCCCGTCAGGGTTCGGATGTTAATGCATATCAGTCAGCATCCTCGGTTATGTTAATCGATCCATAGAGGACTTGACAAATAACTCCGATTTGCAACTACCAGACATGAAATTAAGCTCGTACGTGAGGATGGGAGACTACTATGCCGCAGTGAGGATGTACTCCAGCGACTTTCTCAAAAGAGGAACTCCTCCCGGAAAAGTGACACGCCGTCAGATATAGCACAGGGATCTGGGCTTGATACGAAGGGCAAGTCAATTAGCCAAAGAGCCATGAATTGAAGAAGGTTTAGAACTATGAGAAATATCTCTTTTTCAACGTCCAGCTGACCACAAATCGATGAACGGAGGCTGGGTCAGTCTGTTGTCTCGAGGAAAACAGCTGGCAACAGGTGACCAAGAGGGACCGACGTTAACCTTGAACAAATATTAAGCTTCCACAATACAGATGGATACAGAGGTGATCCGTTCCCGAGTATTTCAGAGTATTTCAGCTGACTCAGAACTCTAAATTCAAAACGAAAAATATCACATCGGAAGTAATATTTATGTTCCTTAACCCTTTGGGTTAACCATATGGCACGTTTGGCACTAAGCCGTGCGACATGCGACGAGATCTCACCGAGCTACTGTGATGGCGGCGTCGCGTCTCGTGGGAAGGCGAGCAGGCAGCCAGAACATGTATGCACATACATGCAGATGCTGCTTACTTGTGATCGCCGCGCAAGCGACGTCGCAACGCCGCCTGCCTAACAGCGGTGGTTCACAAAAGGCTAAGAACATTATGTTACTGATCCAACACCATTTCCAAAGCCATGATGGAAATAGCTCAGTAATAGCGTGAACGAGTGATGCCTGATGACGGATCCCTTGATAGTGCAATGGTTAGCACGCGCTCTAAGAAGAGATAAAAGGCGGATTCGACTTCCGACAAAAACTCAAGTTTTGCATATCACTCAGCATCATTGGATATAGAGTCCAGTAATAGTTCAAATCAAAAAATTAGGGTCAAACATTCAGAGAACACACAGCTGTTTTTCCCATTATCAGATGACGTCATTCTTTTTCAACAGATTTATTATCCTTACAAAAGAAGCAACACTTTTCACGCAATGAACCAGAGATAGAAAAACAATGCGAAATGTGGAAGTAAGTGGGGCTTGAAAGAATCCTTTGCAGAATGCGTCCGCAGAATGATTTCAGCTTATTCAAAACGGTGGCAAACCGAACTCCTCGGGTACGAATTCCTCCAGAGAAGAAAGCACTTTGTCCGGTCTGGAAAAAAACAACAGCAATCGAGATAACCATTAATGTAAAGCAATGTGCAAAACTTTCGCGTCAGGCGGGACTAGAACCCGCACCTCATTCTTTCCGGTAATGTGTGCTCTATCCGTTACACTACTGACGCCCATTTTGCACATCGCTCTTTCTACGCTTCAGCGCATGCGATGTGCAAAATGGGCGTCAGTAGTGTAACGGATAGAGCACGCATTCCCGGTCCGAAAACAGAGTCTTTCGTCTGATTTGGTGTATGCTGTCTACGGCACTTGCCTGTTGTAAGGCAACAAATGAAGATTCTACCCCTCTCACTGGACAAGAACTTTCCATAAGAATTTAAGTAATCATTCATATACTCAAATCTCTGGTTACTGCCATATGTGCTCCTTTTTTGCAAAAGCCTTTTCATAACGTTGCAGCCCAAAGAGAACATTTGTGTTTCACAAAAGCATTTTTTTCGCAGGACAAGACCGTTCCCAGGGATTATGGAGAACCATTCGATAGCACACGTTTCGTCAATTACAACGCTGTTATTATTTTTTGGAAAACCCGTTTCACTGCTGTGTAGCAGCGAAAATAAGATTGAACTTCACGTAAACGGCGCTGTCAGTTAGCTAGCACGCGTGTGCTGAATTGTGGCTAGGTGGCCGGTGTAGAAGAAAATTCTATTTTCAATGCTACAGCGTCATAAAAGTTTTTTTCTTCAGAAAAGGAGCAAGCAGCGCAGTAGCCAGAGACTTGAGTTTTCGAATAATTACTAACACTCTTACAAAAATTTCTTCTCCACCAGAAAAGAATCGAATCTTCTTTCGCTCTCTTATAGCAGACAAGTACCCTCTTCGTAATAAAAAAAAATCAATGAAATTGAAGACTAAAGGAAAAAGTTCTCAACACTGATCAATCCTCAAGTGCTGCGCAATTCATTCGTCTTCACCATGCATCATTTGAGCTGATCAAAAGCATAACTGGCATTTTCCAAGACTCCCAGTATCCTATGAGTGTATCACGCCAGTGCTACTATCCTCTCAGACATGTCTGATACCAATTAGCTAACCCTGAAGATATGAAAGGCTTTGTGAGCCCTAGGGGCCGGGCTGAGCCACTGATAATGTGTGGTCGCCGAGCACCTTTAACCACTGCTCCAAAGGCGCTGCGAGGACCTGACATTGGCAAATTTTGAAACAATGTTCTGCCGGACCAAATCTGCTTGTTCAACTTCTTAATTACTTGAAATACAAGTCTTGACGAAATGGCAGAAAAAAAAAGAGGAATCGCTTTGTTGTAGAATATAAAAACCCACGACTTGGGGACAATAATGTGTAGAATTTCACGAGAGTGTTAATGGACAAAACTCACTACAAGTCGAGATATGAACGATTACAGATGAGATACACGCGCAAAACAGCAGGTTCGAGATTTGTTTGCCTAGAACTAAAATAGGAACGCGTGTAGCGCGGTAATTAGGTGTTCTGCGACAGCACATAATCAATCAGTCAATGGTCGATGCTCCAATCCGCGCTCTAGGCTCACCAAACCTTTCATCCCTCGTAGGTCGGTGAATTTGTAGCAGAC